AGACAGGGTCTCACTCTGTCACCCAAGCAGGAATGCAGTCGCACGATCAATGCAGCCTTGACCTTCCAGGCTCAAGCGATTCTCCCACCTCATCCTCCTGAGTAGCTGGGGCCACAGATACATGCCACCACACCCAGCTACTACTTTGTAGAGATGAGGTTTCGCTGTGTTGCCCAGGCTGAGCTCAAGCGATCCTCCTGCCTTGACCTCCCAAAATGCTGGGATTATAGATGTGGGCTGCTGCACCTAGCTGAGAAAATCATTCTTTAAAAACCCTCCTCTTCAGCCTAGATGACTTGTTTGTAAAATCCTATGCGCTTACTCGTCAGCAAACATTTACTAAGCACATACGTGCCAGGCAGCACGTAAGGTATTAAAGAGGCTACTGTGAACAAGCAGATGAGCTCTCTAATGTCTGGTTCCATAAAGGAAGATCTTTCTTCTTCTCCTCTTCAATCTCCATAGAAATGGAACCTATTAAGTCTAAGATAACAGACTGAACATACGGCTTCCTTTAACTTTTCCTGATGGCATCATTTAAGTTGGTTAAGATGATAGCCAAAATATTTTGTGTACTACTAGTGACAAATAATGTGGTTTCATGGATAAAGCACTGGTTTCAATCTGGAGATCTAGCTTCTTACTTTTGCTGTCTTTTATTACTGAAAAGAATCAAATAAAAGACACCTCTTCAGAGACCTTGTGGTTTAGAGTTGGTAAATTAAATATAGTGGTGAATTGGAATTGGTTCTCTCTGCTCACTAGAGCTGATTGTTAAGTTTTCCTGAATTTTTTAAGTCTGTTGATGTCACGTTGGTAGGTTGAAACCGGCCATGATGGGAGTATTTACACCACAAAATAGGCAAATGTTACAACGTGGGGCTTTTATTTCCCAGAAAGCCAGTTGTTGAACATTTCCTTGCACATCACTAAGTAAAGGGGATGGTAATCACCCTAACGGTGGAGGGGAACTTTGGAAAGACATCGACATATTCATGATCAAAATGAAGGAGAAGAAGTAAATCAATACATGAGATTCCAGGCAAGATGTGTCTAGAGGCTCATTTATTATATAGGGGTGATGTTCCTCTTTTATTCCTTCATAGAACTGGTTGTCATGCCATTTTGACCCAGAACATTTTATTTTATTTATTTATTTTTAAGTAGAAACACAGCCCCTCACTGGGCTGGAGTGCAGTGGTGCCATCAGAGCTCTCCACAGCCTCAGTCTCCTGGGTTCAAGAGACCTTCCCTCCTCAGCGTCCGAGCGGCTGGAATTACAGGCATGCACCAGACCTGGCTGGTAGACCCAGGTCATTTTCACGTAATCATGTGGACTTTGTATACGTTCTTTACTCCACTAATGACATAGGCTGTTAGTAAACAAAACAAAAGACATTAGAAGAATAAAGAGTATTGCATTTAGAATTTCAGTACTCCATTGCTGGGCCAAGGAATAGTGCTAGAGTTTCTGTGGAATTGCTTCTACTTTCCTTACTAAGAATTATGAAATCACTAGTATTGTAGCCATTTCGTAATAAAATGGGTAAAGATGCACTCATCATAATTTGTGATGAATCCAAACGTGAGTTGATGAATTATATCTTGTTTGTAATTTTGGAAAGTGAAAAAACCTTGGTCTGAGAAAAGTGACACTATAGAAGAAAACCTGATGATAGTTGTCACTAACTATTCACAGTCACACTTGTTATGGACTAAAAAGTGACAAAAGCATCAATCTTACAAAATTCGGACATTCAAAATGCAACCCAGGAAATTTGGAACTTCATAGAAATAATGAAAACCGCCACGCCACTAGGGCAGGAACCTTAAACAGTAAAGTTTCATGAAGACAAAAATCTTTTTAATCAATCATCTCTTTTACAAAGTTTACAAGAAAAGCATTCATCCCTAAAAGCTATTTTCTATAAAAGTAAAATGAAACGGGCCGGGTGCAATAGCTCACGCCTGTAATCCCAGTTTGGTAATAAAAATACTTACCATTTATTGAAAATGGATGGCTGGGCATGGTGGCTCACACCTGTAATCCCAGCACTTTGGGAGGCCAAGGTGGGTGGATCATGAGGTCAGAAGTTTGAGACCAGCCAGGCCAACACAGTGAAACCCTGTCTCTACTAAAAATACAAAAATTAGCTGGGCATGGTGGCGGGTGCCTGCAATCCCAGCTACTCAGGAGGTTGAGTAGGAGAATTACTTGAACTCGGTAGATGGAGTTTGCAGTGAGCCAAGATCGCGCCACTACGCTCCAGCCTGGGTGACAGAGCTAGACTCTATCTCAAAAAGTAATAATAATAATTAAAATTAAATGAATATCTATGTGAAAAAACAGACTCTCCATCTTCATATCATACACAAAAATTAATCTGAGATGGATCATAGATATGGATGAAAGCTAAAACGGGCAGTGAGCCGAGACTGCACAATTGCACTCCAGCCTGGACAACAAGAGCGAAACTCCGTCTCAGAAGAAAAAGCTAAAACTATAAAGTTTTAAAAATAAAACATAGAATTCTCAATCGCTTTAAATTCTTATATTAGAAAGAAAGGTGCAAAATTAAAATAGGACCCAAAAAAGTTTTAAGCAATTTAACTGGACCGTTTAAGAAAAAGAGCCAGTGAGTTAAGATGGTTTTCTGGAGTTTGCTCTGGAAAGTATGTTCTCCATGAAAATTATCAGTATTGGTGTCATTCTAATTTGAATATCTGTGTTTATTAAACATGAAGTTAAAATATTCTTTGAGGTTACAAAGACCAGATTAAAATAACAACTTAAAAAACATTTTTACAACAGTCTATAACTGTCCCATGATCAGAAAAACAGAGTTAATTGCATTTCATTCAAGTCAGAAACTTAAAAAGAGAGAGGGGGGAAACAGCAAAACCTCCACTCACCTTAGCAGGGTGACAGAAGAGATCAAAATGTGGCTTTTGTCCATCCTCCTCATCCCTAAATTGAAGCATCTTCCCTCAGGTGGTCCACAGGTCTCCCTGTGCTGTATTCGTCTAAGAAACCCCATCAAAAGTGACAGCTGCAAGTACTGTTCTGGTTTGGTGAGCTTTCTCTTTATCAGTGTTGGCTTTAGTTGATGCTAAGATTTTTGAATTAAACATCTGGTTGGAGCCGGGCGCGGTGGCTCACGCCTGTAATCTCAACACTTTGGGAGGCTTAAGCAGGCGGATGACTAGGTCAGGAGTTCGAGACCAGCCTGACCAACATGGAGAAACCCCATCTCTACTAAAAATACAAAATTAGCCAGGTGTGGTGGCGCATGCCTGTAATCCCAGCTACTCGGGAGGCTGAGGCAGGAGAATTGCTTGAACCCAGGAGGTGGAGGTTGCGGTGAGCCAAGATCGTGCCATTACACTCCAGCCTGGGCAGCAATAGCAAAACTCCATCTCAAAAAAAGAAAAAAAAAAAAAATCTGATTGGATGATAGTAAGTATCTCAAAGTTCTACCTGCCTCTGAGAACTCACGGTCTCCTTCATTCTTCGGATGCCATCCTGGTCAAAACATATTTGATGAAATGGAATATGAATCTACCCAAACTGCTCAAGACTCTTCATTGCACATTCTCCCCCCACTCCCGCAGCACACACCCTGTGTCCCAATGTTCTCTCATATCTATTCATTCAAGCTGTCTGTTCCTCATAAATTGAGCTGTCATATGGGTTGGTAGGAGCCAAGGAGAAACTTCTCCTTCACTCTCTGAAGGTTGGATGAAAGACCAAATGACAAAAGGCATTTTGTTAAGAGGAGAAACGGCACATACCTTTATTAACATGCCCAGAGGAGCGCCACAGAGTGGTCACCCCCATCCCACCATGGGGCTCAGAAGCTTGTATGCCATCTTGAGGTTACAGAAAGAATGGGGGTTTGGATGGTGGCAAAACAGGTGATGGGAGGGGGAGAAGAGGAGGCCTGACTAGCAAAGATGGCCTCACCAGGCATAGAAACCTCCCACGTAGCAGGTCTCAGAGAGAATCGATGGGAAATGGTTCTTTCAGACCTTTGAAAGTGCCAGCCTCTCAGTTCATCTTTCCTACGTCGGACAAGAGAGGACCTCAGCGGAAGCCTGGCTGCATTAGTGTAGATTTTTCCCTACAGATGCACATCTCCCCCCATAAAGACAGCTTTTTAGCTACTGCAGATTTTCAGCCCTTCTGACCAAGCACAGTTTTTAAATGGGATTAGGACCGGGCCTGGTGGTTTATGCCTGTAATCCCAGCACTTTGGGAAGCCAAGGCGGGAGGATGGCTTGAGGCCAGGAGTTTGAGACCAGCCTGGGCACAACACACGGAGGGAGACCTGGTCTCTACAAACCAAAAATAAATAGATTCGTTGAACGTGGTGGCACACATTGGTAGTCTCAGCTATTCTGGAGGCTGAGGTGGAGAATCACTTGAGCCCAGGAGGTCGAGGTGCAGTGAGCCATGACTAAGGAGGTACACTCCAGCCTGGGCAACAGAATGAGACCCTGCCTCAAAAACAATAATTAAAACGAATATTAAAACACTGTTGTTAAGTAAGGGGGCTGGGAATGCAGTTCTTTGCATAGGACTTCTTTCTTTCCCACAAATTAGCTTCTCTTTTCAATGAAAAGTTTTCATGAACTTAAAACTTAAATTAAAAAAAAAAAAAATGATTGTTGAGTGAGGGGAAACCCGTGTTGAACAGTGATCCAAGACACTTTAAAAATTTCTTTTAATTCACACAGTTCAAATTGTCAAGTCTGACCTTGGAATAACATTTTTCTGTCCAACGTGTGAAATACTGGGTAATACAAACATAATTATGGAAATATTCAGAGACCTTCCCTGCACCCAGACACAGAGCCACCTCCACTTCCTTCTACCGCTCTTACAAAAACCAAAAGGCGTTGGAAGGAGAGATGACCCGTCTCCCCGGGAGCTGGTTAAGGAACCAGGCAAAAAAGTGAGATGCATTTCTCAGATTCGGACTTGACCTGACAGGTCCCCTAGGGTGAGTCACTTTTTCCTATTTCAGTCAATTTGGCTGTAAAATAATTACAATAACGAGGTCTTGTTTACTGAGACTGAAGTCCGAGCTGCCTCGCCTCATTCAGCGGCTAAAAAGAAAAACAGAAGGTGGTGATTAGAAAGCTTCTGTAGCCAACCTCACGCAGCGTGGAGATGAGAATCCAGGGCTTGAGCACATTAAGTGTCCCTTAAGTCAGACTTGCGAGTAGTGGAATCCAATATAATTGCTTCTGCTGCTTCTCTTGTGGGTTTGCACTTGCGGCCTAAAGTAAATAACATAGGGTAAAATAGGAAGCTGGAGTGCGGGCAGGGGGAGAAGAGATTGGACGGATGTTGGTCAAAGGATACAGACTTTCAGTTAGGAAGGAGAAATCAGTTCAAGAGCTGTATTGTGCAATGTGGTGACTAGTTAATACCAATGTATTAAATATTTAAAAATGGCAGCCGGGCACAGTGGCTCATGTCTGTAATCCCAGCCCTTTGGGAGGCCGAGGCAGGTGGATCACTTAAGGTTAGGAGCTCGAGACCAGCCTGGCCAACATGGTAAAACCCCATATTTACCAAAAAATACAAAAATTAGCCAGGCATGCTGGTGCACATCTGTGCTTAGCTCCTTGGGAGGCTGAGGCAGGAGAATCACTTGAACCCTGGAGGTGGAAGCTGCAGTGAGCTGAGACAGCACCACTGCATTGCAGTCTGGGTAACAGGGTAAGACCCTGTCTCAATGAAAAAAAAAAAGAAAGAAAAGAAAAGAAAATTTTCAAAGAGAGGAGATTTTAAGTGCTCTCAGGACAAATAAAAAGCATGTGAGGTAATATATATGATAATTATTGACAGCCATTCTGTAATATGTGTACCTGTATATTTCAAAACATCATGTTATATACCACAAATATATACAATTTTTGCTGGTCAATTAAGAAATAAAATAAAATCCTTCCTTCAAAATAGGAAGGTTATATTAGACTAAAGAAATTAAGAGGAGATGAACAGAGCGGGGGATGGGAAGGGAGGGGAAGGAAGAGAAAAGCTGGGTCAGGGGAAGATGAGGAGGGAAGGGAGAGAAGGGAACAGGCCTGCCCTTAATGCTTCTCAAGCTCTCTATCTTGCCAAGATCTGGCCTGTGGCCCGGCACAGCAAAAGCTGGAAAAATGCCAGTGGCTCAACCCAGTTCCATTGATCAGTGAACTAGAAATCGGGCACTGTGTGTTTCAACCCCAGTCGGCCAGCCCACAGCCAGGGGCCAGGTGGCAGCCTCGGCTCCTGGCCTCAGTGGCTGTTGGGAGAATGGGTTGGCCAGCCAGCCTGCATTGGTCTCACACAGCAGGCAGCCAGCGCAGCCTGGAGCCCAGCCAGGGGACGCGGGAGTGCTTTCAGCTTTTAAGGACAGACTTTGCTTTACCTCAGCCGTCGCTCTTGGGGCCACACGGAAAGCCACCATTAGGTTTACTATAAAGTGACAGAGGCTGGTGTCTCTGGGAGAATGAGGAATAGTCACTTCCTGCCTTTGTCCATTAGTGCCGACCAATGCGACCAGCTCCGTTTACATTCTTTCAGTGGTGTTATTGAAAGGGCTTGGCAGCTCCCAAATGTTTGCAGTGTCCTTAGTCCCATGAGGGCTGCCTTCTTCTTCTTTTTTGCTAGCTTTTAGCTAGTGTCTGGAAAGATCTACTGGACGCGCTGGGCTCATTTTTTTCAAAAATCCACTTTACCCTTCAGGGAAGCCAGGAAAAGAACGAGCTTCCAACCGGTACAAGTCTGGAAGAACTTCACTGCCTCTCCAAGTACGGTACCCTTTTCGTTTCTTAGTCCAGCCTGTTACTGGGATGGTTTTAGGATGCAGCTGCTGGGGTGACATCTGTGGGGAGGTGCGGGGAACCGCAGATGAAAAGAAGTTACCATTTTAAATTGTATTAAATTGCTGTCGGTATGGAATCAAGGTATCTGAGGTTATTGTTTGGGGAAGGAAACTACTACAGAAAAATATTCAACCAGAGCTTCTTTGGGAACCTTAAGAATTTTTTTTTAATTTTTTTGAAACAGAGTCTTACTCTGTCACTCAGGCTGGAGTGCAGTGGTGTGATGATGGCTCACTGCAGCCTCGACCTCCTGGGCTCAAGTGATCCACCCTCCTGAGTAACTGGGACTACAGGAGCACACCACCACGCCCACCTAATTTTTTTTTTTTAATTTTTTTGTAGAGACAAGGTCTTGCTATGTTGCCCAGACTGGCCTCAAACTCCTGGGTTTAAGTGATTCTCCCACCTTGGCCTCCCAAAGTGCTGGTCATAAGCCACTGCACATACCAAGAACTTTATTTTTCTGGCCAAGAACTTTGTTTTTAAAAATAACAGTAAGCTATGTACTGTCTGCTGGAACTATTGGATGGCCCCCAGCATTTAATCCCATGGGACGTACCTGCTGCGGCACCTGGCGGCGTGTTCCTGTCACCTGCTCCCATCTCTCTCTCTTGGAGCAGCTCATGAAGGAGAGATGCCGCTAGCATCTTTTAAAATGTGATGGATTGTCCTGCCCTGAGCAGAGTCCAGATTGGATGGTGATTTGAGGACTGCTGGAGTTAAAGTGTGCACATGCAGTTTTCAGGCAGCTAATTAAAGTAATTAATTAGTACACTTCTGGAACCCAAACTGCTCCAATGCTATAGGCAAAATTCCCTGCCTGCTCTGGCTCATCAGAAAGAGTTTGTATATGGAAAACTTCAGAACAGAACAAAGAAACTTAGGTCTGGATGAGGAATGAAGTCTTGGCTCTCGTTTAGCAATTCCTGAACTGCCAGGCGACATCAAATCCGCTGCCGAAAAAAACATCTGAAATAAAAAGAATTCCAGACATTAGGCATGGTTTAAAGCAGGGTATGCTTTTTTATTGTGTGCTTCTGGGTCTAAACGGGCCATGGTTTGCTCCCCAAGGTGACAGTGTGGCTCCCATTCCACTCCTAGTTCTGAGCACAGCACTGTGATTTCTTTCTGGAGTTGTTCCAACCTGTGGACTTTGCTAATGAGTGATGAACCCCAGAACCTGAACTTCTGGTGTCAGCAGAATCACACACTCCCTTCTCAGGAGGTTTCTGGAACACTGGCCTTCATCCCAGCAGGATCACAAGTGGAAAGAAACACAGGGAAGACACCATCAAACCTTTAAAGTGGCCACACCATGGAGCAATGACACAAAGAGACGATGGTTCTGGAAGGAGGGGAGGGATGCACTGTATCATTATTTTTTTCTAGATTGGATTCCGTGCACAGGTCATCACACTCACTGTGAGTGCAAGCGGGGGAGCAAATCGTGGGTCCAAAAAAAATCTCTCTGCAAAGATCCTTGCTCACTCACTTGGATGCACTTCTCAGCTATGGATTCATGCTTTTCCACTTGTTGAAACATCCCTAAACGTCGCCCTCAATGTCCTGTTTGTGTCGCTGGCTCTCCGCCGCTCAGTAATAATGAAACAGCCTCAGTGAACCTGCAGCAGCAGCTGCCTTAGCTTTGGTGCCTCCCCACCCCTGCAGCTGAACCACTTTGAATATTCCTTGGTGGTGCAAGAGACAGTCTCACTCTTTCCTTCACTGGCCTTCCTCTGTGTCGGTCACGGTTGGCATGAGCTACATCCTGTGCATGTTATGGTGAGAAGGGGTGAATGAGGAAAGACAGGGTGGTTTTATACTTGCCCCTGGGACAGTCACTGGGTAAGGAAGGGTTTGGGGTGCGCCCTCAGGCTCCCCTCAATGCATGAAGGCCTGGGACGGGTCAGCTGGCAGAGGTGTGTCTGTGTTTAACTTAGAACTGAATGTTGAAGACTTTGTGTCCCGAAGGGAAGAATTATTGGGATCTGATGCCCTAAGCAGGGGAAATTCCAAGCTCAAAAAGCCAGTTAGAATTCAGAACTGTGTTGTTATTCTGCCTCTCAGTTTTCCTCTATGTTCAACTCCTCTTTTTTAGATAATCATGAAGCTGTTTACATGTTGTCCTCTTCTGTGAACTCATCCCTGTAAACAGTGACAGGATTTTATCCAAATATTTCTGATTTCTAAAGAAAAAAAATAGAGCGATTTCTTCCCAGTGCCCTTCTGTTGACCTTGCGTGGGGGAGAGGCCAGCAGAGCTAAGGATGACCTCAGCCCCTTCCAGCATGATTTCCTGGGACGTACAGAACCTCCTCCTTCGGATGTCTTTCTGTGATTAGCCACATTCAATCTATAAGCTTTCAGAGCAGATGATGGGGACATCTAATATTGGTTCCATGCACATTTCAGAGTGAGGTCAAACACATAAAATAATCATTATGCTTCCTGAAGTCCCAAGGACCTTCTCTGTCCGAGGCAGAGTTGGGAGGTGGGTTGGCGAGGTGGGGCAGTCTAGGAACTGCGCTGGTGGGGGCTGAAGGGAGATGTAAGGGCTTGGTGGGAAATAAATGGCACTGTGTTGTTGACGGAAAAAGATCTTGGCAGGACTGTTGTTGTGAGTGTTCTGTGGCTTAGAAAGGAATTTCCTACAGGCTGGACTAACCATTAAAAATGTCTCTACCTTCAGGAGTCCCCGGCGTGCAGTGGAGCCTCGCTGGGGGAAATGTCAGCTTGGACCATGGGCGCCCGCAGTCTGGACAAGCGAGGAAGTTTCTTTAAGGTAAAAGGAAGCCTTGATTAGGATCTCAAATCGTTGGCTTACTCCCTTAGCCTGGGAGCTGCAGCGCTCCTTGGAGCTGCTGAGGGAAGTCTGCTCTCTGAGCCAGCGCCGGCTGAGGGAGCTTGCCCGAGCCCAGCTGCTGACTGTCACCGGGGCATACAACAGGTTGCAGGGTCTGTGATTTAGTGCTTTCACGCAGGTACAGGACTTGGGCGCGAGAGGGGCTGCGCTGTGCAAGACGGCGGAGGCTGTCTTTATTTGAGAGCTGCTCAGCTTGCCGTTTTTCAGCTGCAGGGTTTTATGGTGGACGTTGGACTTTGCTTTCCAGTGAATAAATACTGTCGTCATGCGTTCTCTCCTAAAACAAAAACAAAACCAGTTTCCTCAGCCTCACCTTACAATGATGAAATACTATTTTCTGGTATATTTTATCAAACATCCCCAAAGGCTTCTTATGATAACAAGGAAGCTTGATAACAACTGTCTAACTCTTCTGTGTTCATACTGATGTTGATGAGACTAAATTACTTTGCTAGCTTAATGAGATAAGATTTTAAATGGGTGTTTTATGTACTCTGTGTGTGTGTATTTAATGAAGACGTGGTGGTCGTTTCTAGTTGACACTTGGGAATCAGTTCCCCTCTTGTGGCTTTTCACTTTGTTTCCTTTCTTCCACCCTCGAATTAAGGCATCCTCAGTATAGAAAATTTTGAAAATACAGAATTATGTTTAAAAAGGAAGAAAAGTGGACGTAAAATATGCACTTGAAATCTGTCATAGGCAGGTGTTCCAACATCAGGTCTCATCCCCAGAGGAGGAACACGAGGAGGTTTTATTACTGAGCAGTGACTATGTTTTTATTTATTTATTTATTTATTTATTTTGAGATGGGATTTCACCATGATGGCCAGGCTGATCATGAACTCCTGACCTCAGGTGATCCACCCACCTTGGCCTCCCAAAGTGCTAGGATTACAGGCGTGAGCCACCGCGCCCAGCCCGAGCACTGACAATGTTTAACAATTAACCAACCTTCATAGGTTGTATGTATTAACACTTACTTACATGTGTCCTGTTACCAAGAGAACAAAACTTATTTATTGTGTCAACTGTTGACTTTACAAAAAAATCCATCAGAAGAACCTGTTGATAAAGCAAGTTTCATGAGATTTACTGAAATAAGGAAGAACATCACTAGGACACAGTCCTATTCATGTCTAAGCAAGGGGAGATTAAGAGGCAGATTTATAAGATTCAGGGATCTAGGCCCAAGTCCTTCAAGCTGCATTTTTCGAGAAACTGATTTGATTTCAGTGATGTCTGTGCCACAATAGCTTGGGATTGGTGGATACAGCACGACGAGGATATTGAAGTGGGCCTTGACAAATAAACCCTTGTTTGATAAGTGAGCTGTTTTCCCAGGTGAGCAAATTGTTTGCCAGGACAAATTATTGTGTAGACATTTCCTGCAGCAAACAGTGAAGTCACTTATTGGTTTACAGCCTTAATTTTCTGGGCAAGAAGATCCTGGAAGAAAGAGTTAAGTTATGTTGACACAGATGGTCTCAATCATCAATCCTAATAGTTAAAGCTTTGTGGACATAAGTAGTCTCGCTTCGCAAATGATTTATTCAGTTTTGATCAAACCTGTATAACCTTCACCCACAGGAGGCAGATGAGAGCAAGGAGCTCCTCAAGTGCCCTGTAGATCAAGAGCTGAGCCCACCAGGTGGCCCAGCTGTCATCCGGCAGGTTCCTGGGTTGCGTCTGATGCCGAGATATTTATTTCCCCCTGGCAGAAAGGATGATTTAAAACCTCTCCTTAACCCAAAGCACTGTCTAGATCAACCTAAATATTGGCTAGTCCATAATTACCACCTTATGACGATCAGGAAACACAGTGGCCTTGTATCTTACATAGTAGTTAGATTTTAAAGTCAAGGCCAAAGAAGAAAATGGAGGCCAGGCAGGGTGGTTCACACCTGTAATCCCAGCAGTTTGGGAGGCCAAGGCAGGAGGATCACTTGAGGTCAAGAGTTTGAAACCAGCCTGGCCAACATGACAAAACCCTGTCTCTACTAAAAATTCAAAACTTAGCCGAGCGTGGCCCCCTCAAGTAATCCCAGCTACTTGAGAGGCTCAGGCAGGAGAATTGTTTGAACCTAGGAGGCAAAGGTTGTAGTGAGCCAAGATCACGCCACTGCACTCCAACCTGGGCGACAGAACAAGACTCCGTCTCGGGGGTGGGGGGGGGGGGATAAAAAAGAAGAAAATGGAGTACAGTCAAAGTTGCCTTTGAACATTTCTTAGGAAACTGCGCTGTGGGGCCCAGTGCACTACCTATCATCATGTCCATTGTACCCAGTTTTTCCTGCAGTTCTAAGAAAATCATGTTTGTTCTTATTTGAGTTTTCAGCGGGCCAGCAGGGAAAGTCATTGCCTTGTATTTCTGGGCTATGCTATAGGAAAGAACCAATCAGGTGAGAGGTGGGAGGCCTGCCTGACCCCACCGAGGGTGAGACCTACCATGTAACCTTTCCTGGGTCAAATGCCCATGAAAATATTGGCAAAGATGCCTGCACTATGTCACTTATTTGTAACTTTGTGTTTGGGGCAGAGCTTAAATTGTTTAATTTATTTAAGTCAAATGCTCCATGTAAATGATATAGTTACTTTATACTTCTTTCTTTGAGCTCCTGGGCTCAAGCAATCCTCCCACCGTGGCCTCCCAAAGTGCTGGGATTACAGGCGTGAGCCACCACACCCAGTCTCCTTCCTCTTCCTTCTAGACATAGTTATTCTTCGCTGTGGCTGTTCCATAATTAGTCACCCGCATTCGTCATGTAGTTATCTATGAGGAGACGTGAACTGCCCTTTGGACATCCTGTACTGACTCTTGGCAGGTTTATTTGTAAGAAGCTGGAGGAGAGTTCAGTGCTGAAATGGGTGGTCACCCAGTGGGCACCTTCTGGGACCCACTAGCCCTGCTCTGACTCACCATGCTTTATTTCTGTTCTCACCTTTAAGCACCCATGAGCAGCCAAGCTCTGCAGTTGGCCAGAGACAGAAAAAGCAGAAGCCACTCCTAACCTCATGGAGCTTTTAGTCTGGTAGCAAAGAAAGATATTAATCAGGCTGACGCAGTGGCTCACACCTGTAATCCCAGCAATTTGGGAGGTCGAGGCGGGCTGATCACAAGGTCAGGAGTTCGAGACCAGCCTGGCCAATATGGTGAAACCTCATCTCTACTCAAAATACAAAATAATAATAATAATATAATTAGCAGGGTGTGGTGGTGAGCACCTGTAGTCCCAGCTATTTGGGAGGTTGAGGCAGGAGAATCGCTTGAACCCAGGAGATGGAGGTTGCAGTGAGCTGAGATGGCACCACTGCCCTCAA